ATCCCAGCGTGGGTCCTATAGCCATGTGTTTCGTCGCTTCCACCGCGACCCCACGAGCCACCAAGCGGTCGGGCAGTTGCAGCTAAACTTTGATTGGGTACCGCAGTCAGTTAGATCATCCTGGCGTTAACGTCCATTTCAAGTGTGTTTGGGTCTGGTTGCCAGGGTGGATCATTCATGATGTTCGCCTCATCTGAGTTCCTCTTGCTCCTCCTCGCTTCCTTTGTGCCTGAAGTTGTGGGACTTGATGGCGCCCTCTGGAGTATCAACGGTGTACCTTTATTTTCATGCATTTCCAGAAATTCACCGCTCTCCCACCTTGCTTTTTTAAGTCGTTGCCTTCTTTTTTGGGCGGATTCTCCAGGTACACGGTGATGCATTATTTCTGCAAACTTGGATAACGAATTTCCGCCCTCGGCACTTTTCTTGGGTTGTCTTGGTGTCAGTGTCGATCGTAATTTCGCTGAAGGGAGAAGATGCTTAAGTCACCCACCAAGGTTTAAGTGCGTGCTCATATTTTGAATTCAGTTTGATATTTGTTGTCCAGAGTGAAATTGAATGTCCGTATGTGACTTTTTACTGTCCGATTTGCTTTTTCGATTTCACCATTCGTTTGGGAGTTTCCGCCCAGACTAACCTCTACATCCATGTTGAGGTGTCACGAGGTTTTAACAGCTTCCTTGTGTGCCGTATTGGATGATTCCGCTATCGTGTTCGAGGATGTTTTGATTGAGTACGGATCGATGCCCTTTATAAGTATATTTCGGTTCCGAGTTAATGCTATGTCCCAGCAGTGCATGACGATGATTGGGTTTCCTCTGCCTTCTTCCTCTACGTCTCTTCTCATCCCGCTGAACCACCTGTATTCGACTAAGATCACAAGTATGCCGTGTCCTGGCGTCCTTAATTTCTTTCTGTGGGATCTCCTTCTGGTTCTGCCTCTGACGCAGTGGGGGCACCAGCTTCGGTAGGGTACATGCATCTTATTCCGCATCTCAACTTATACTTTTCTGGGTCTCAGGCTATACGTAATCCTTTCAGGTATTGCAGCCTCCTCGCCGACTAAGACATCCTCCACGTCACCTAACTCATTGCTCCCATCCTCGTTTGTTTCGTCTTCTTGCACATTCATGATGAATGGAATTTGAGTGAGGTTTACGGGCTCACCCGGACTCGGCAGAACAGGCCCACCATGATATTAGTTTGCAAGGGAAAACTTTAATATCCCTCATCACTAGCTTTCCTGACCTCTCCTGACCCGTAACACATTTTCGGACTCGTCTGATGAATTGGAAGTTACCGTTTTTCTTATGAATCGACATCTCTTGTCCCGTTGTTTCATGTTCGAGGTAACTGTAGGATCGCCCATCCTTGTCTTGATCTAACTCTATACGATTATGTGTTTTCGACCATCTCACGCGCAAACCCGAGTACCTTCTTAACACCAGCTACGTGGACGGGCATGCTCACCATGGACCCCCTTTCGTTTATACCCACAACTCGTTGCCCCTGATTCTTGACGAATGACCTATTGACCGCGCTGCAATGTTTACAGCTCTTGGAGTTTTCCCTTGGAGTCCCAGACGTGTTGTAGGATCCTGGGCCCACATTAACACTTACACCAGAGAAACACCCCAACAAGTGGATGGGGTGAAAATTTTGGCAGGTACCTGGCCTCATGTTCGCCGTAGGGCCCGAAGAGTCACTAAATATTGATGCCTTGTCGATGTTATGAGGGTCGCGGCATGCTCGCCTTTTCGGATATCTCTCGGTTCGAAACGGCCCAAGAAGAGTGAGCTGAATAGTGAGATGGATCATGAGATCGATCATACATCGTGAGATCGATAAAGAGATCGATACGGAGACCGACCAGGAACCCGGGAACCCAGGAACCCGGAACCCACCGAAATCGGCCCTGAACCAATGACCAGGAACCCAGAAACCTGGAACCGGGAACCCGGGAACCCAGCCGGCTACCAAAATCGGCGGGAAATTTTCGCCAAATCTTAATATCCGCTAGGAAATTTTCAGTGCAAGCATCGATTGGGTAATTATTGTCTCCATGCCGCTCTCCTGGTCCTTCACCGGTATTTACTTAATCTTTTTGTCGTGCCTTTTCATTTCCACTAGCTGCAGTTCGGCGCATTTTTGCCGGAATTGTTTCCTTTCTTCATGCATTATGTGATTATGTTATCCCGCTTGGTGCTATGGCCGCAGTTAACGCTGTGATGCGTATTCCCTCTTGATCCTTGACCTTGCCTCCCTGTTCCTCCTCCTTGTTTCCTGGTATTGCGTCCTCCACTCCTGTGCCGATTGAATTGGCTCTGGTGCTTTGATGTCACAGGTAACGCCACCTTCTTCAGTGGTTCCGCCCACTCCAACGCTGCAGCACTCCTGTCCAGGTAGGGGTTGTCTTAACATTTGCGTGGGCTCTTTTAGGCCTCCTGCCTCGCCTTGACCTGGGGTGACCTCGTTGGTGTTCTTGGGGCATCGTACTGCGGTGTGATCCTGTTCGCCGCATGAATAGCACTTCCTCCCACTGATCGGCACAAATCCTCACGTCCTCCTGTCCAGCTTGGGGTTTGGCTTCCTTGGTAACCTCCTGGGGGATTCCCTTCGTAGCCTCCCTTTGCATACTCCCCTGGGTAACCCTTGGTGCCCTGATATCCTCCTTTGAATCCTCCTGTTTGTACCCCTGGTAACCCTATTGACCTTTCTGTGCTCTCCTTTTCTGCCTCCTTTTCCTTTGTAGTGAGTCCTTCAGTGGAGCAGTCTTTGGCAACGTGCCCATATCCACCACACTTGTAACACACGGACCCTTCACCTTTGCTCTTCCCTTTGCCCACCTCACTCGTGTCGCCGTTCCCGAGGGTTTTCCGATAACCATGCTTCAGTTGGGCGAGATCGTTCAACAATCGTTATTTTAATTCCCTGGATTCGGTCTGGTCACCCCAGATTGTCTTTAATTGCTGAGCCGCCTTGTACTCGCTGACGGGTGTGTTTCCACCTTCTCCAATCCTCGTGTTTCAAGCAGACTGCACAACCTCGGCGATCTTGGTAACATGTTCTGAGGCGCTCGCTTGACGTTGGAGTCATGCCCTAACGTTTTTCAAGTTGTTGAATAGTTCTTCGCAGTACACGTTTTTGTTGATGACTCATATCAGGAGGGCGTTGATATTGTAGTTCACCTGCAGCATCGTGAATGCCATCATTGTCAACCCCTCTGGTGCCTAACGTAGCGCTGATTTCGAATAAGGGCAGCATCCCGTCGCTGTTGGCCTTGAGGTCGTCAACATACCTGATATCTCCGTTCTCTAGACAGCATTGCACAGTCTGGCGAATCGGTTCGTGCTCAGGTTGTACTAACCTCTCTGATCTCGGGCAACGTCACATCGAGACTCGGGTCGACTGGTCCCCGGGCTCGGTGAACCCATTGCAGTTGCAACCGTTGCCATCGCAGGAAGGCGGGTGTTCCGCAGCAGTGAAGCGGAGAGGTCAAAGGCAGGGTGAGGCAGGAGAAGCGAAAGTAGGAGGGCAAGGGAGGCATGAGGGACGAGGATGCCATAATGTGGGCGAGGGTTGAGGAAGCGACGGAAAGCGGAAGAAGGCAAGAAACAGGACGAATAACGATAGCCACGAAAAGGTGAGTGAGAAAAGCAGAGCAGGATCAGAGTGAGGAGTCAAGCACGTACCAGTCGGCATTTTCCAACGTCTCAAGCTACCTAGAAACAGAGTGTGCGCGAATGTTTTTAGTTACGTTATGAAGGTATATGCAATAGGCGTGAACAACAAACAGCTCAACGCGTTGACCCTATGGGAGGATTTGCATGTGGGCGCAATTGGCAGCGGTGGTGGCCTGGTCATCGTGAGCAACGCTCGGTCGTTCGTCGTCGTGGTCGGAGAGCCACCGCCGAGCCCACCAGCTTCCCGGAGCCACCGATGAGGAGCGAGGAGCGATGGGGAGGAGAAAGGAGCGAAAGGAACGGAGGGGAAGGAGCGAGGAGGAGGCATGGGAGAGGCGGAACGAGAGGGAGGAGCGAGGAACGAGGATGATGAGGAGGGAGAATCGAGCATAGGGGAGAGAAGACGGAGGAGGAGGAGGAGGAGGAGGCTTGATGCTTCACGCGGCGTGGCGCCCGCGGATCGCCAAAGGAAAAAGAGGAGGAGGAGCAGCCAATCTGCTGCAGCAGCTGCAGAACGCACGCGCGGATTAGTCGCGAGGCATCCTGCGTTGAGCAGCTCGCCGCGGCTGCCAGGATGATGAATTGTAGAACATCGGGATGGCGGCATCGACGACGACGTTGAGACGATGTCACCACTGCCGCGCTCGAGACCACGACGTCGGCGACGCAGGCCACGAGAGCCGCGGCGACCAAAAAGTCGACGACCACGACCTCGGCGCCGGCGCCGACGACCGAGACCACGACGTTGACGATATTGACGACGACGACGACGACGTCGAAGACGACGACGATGACGACGACGACGACGACGACGACGACGACGACGACGACGACAGCCGCGGCGGCGACGACGACGACGATCTTGAGATCTGGCCGTTGTATGTAATCGTTTCACACTGGGCGTTGGCGCCCTCTTTATCGGACCCCTCAAGGCTCGATCTGGCTCGAGGCATGCCCGAGGATCGATTTGGTTCGCGATCCGGCTCGAAATCGAAAAAAAAGAATCATTGAAAACAAGTTTGAAAGCATCGATTACCGATAGTAATAATAATTCTTATAACTATGAGGAAGTAAAGCTTGGGGAAAACAAGCGAACACGAACGACACAACAACCAACACCAACAGACATAAACCAGAAACATAAACAACAACCTTCAGTACGATTTGTCTCTGTTTTTATGTAAGAAAAGAACGGTTGTTGTTTCTGTTGTTTCAGTCTTCGTGTTTTTGTTTGTTGTTTCCGAGCCCAAGGCCCCATCTTTAACAATGGGGCCTTGGGCTCCGGTCTTTCTCTCGCGACGCCGGGGATCCCGTGAGGGGAGGCCGCTTCCACCTCGAAGCCGCCCGCGGCCGCCCGCGCCGCGCCCAGAGTCAGTCAGTATCGTTTCACCGATGCCTATCCCCATCCCCATCCACATGTCGAGCCCCACCGTCTCACCACCTCAGTTGGGAATATGCCCCTCGAGACCCGACGAGAGCAGCCTATATTCCCATCCAGGGAGGTAAATCGGCCAGTGGGGCCCACCAGCCCACGCCGCTAGGGGTGGGGATCGGTTAGACGATACTCACAGAGGGCCATGTCTGCGGCGGGGTCTCCAGCGGAGGCCCTGCAGGAGGGGCCGGAGAGGCCAGCGCCGCCGGAGGCGCCGCCGGAGGCACCGCGAGGCCGCTGTGCCCGCCGCCGCCGCGCGAGGCGTGGAGGCTCGAGGAGTTTTGCTTCGTTTTGTCAAAAAAATCTGGTGCGATTCGGCTTCAAGGTTCGGTCGTCGCGAAGCGGGCGGGTCCTGAGGGAGACGGCTCGGTAGCAAATCAGGGGAGCCTCGCGTGCCCTCGCAACTCCGTCGTTAGAGCGCTCGCTTCTGGGAAGCGATGAGAGATCGCTGATTCAGCGCCGATGAGCGTCGATTCAACGTCGGTTGGCATCGAGTTAGCGTCGACTGACGCTGATTAGCGTCGGTCCGCGCCGACTCGCAAGAGCCAGCAAGATGGCGTGGGAGGCTCCCACCAGTTGCCACCGAAAGAGGGCCCCTGAGGGTTTCGGCCTTCGTCGGGCTCTCGGGGCCCCGGAAGGTGTCCAGAAACGACGCAGGATAAAAAGATGCCCAGGGGGGAGGCCCGGGCCCAGGACCCGCTTCCCTCAGGCCTCTTTTGTTTCATGGTAGTTCGAGGATCGCGGTCGAGGATCGATCGGGGACCGCCTTGCGCTGGGGCTCGAGGGTCGCGTTGCGTCGGGGTTCGAGGGCCGCGCTCGCGGAGCGGCCGAGGCTCGAGGGCCGAGGCCGCATGTCGCGTTCGCCCCCCCCCCCCCCCCCCACCCACACACACACACACACACACACACACACACCCACACACACACGGTTCGTGGTCCCACAGGGAGCTCCACCGAAGGTCTCAGTGGCAGGATCCGCATGCGTCCCCCCGCCCATCTCGGCACACCCCTCACGAGGATCGTGGCCCCATAGGGAGCCCCACCAAAAGCCCCAGTGGCAGAGTCCGCATGCGTCCCCCGCCCATCTCGGCACACCCCTCACGAGGATCGAGGCACCATAGGGAGCCCCACAGAGAGCGGTACCCAGAACGCGTTACTCACAACTGCATTTGGCTGGGCCCTTCGCCAGGATAGTTAGGATGTGTTGATGTCTGCTGGGGGTTCCCGATCGAAGAAGAAACATCCGCATATAATGCAAAGTGTCAGAGGTCCGCGCTGGTTTCTTGGATCGGCGCTGGATCCCCCTGCACCTTGGCTGCGCCTCCGCCGCCGCCCCTGGCGCGCTCTGCGCGCCTAGAAATTCGCGGGGACGGGCGGAAACGCATAGTTATGCTTATCGAAGACACTTACGGCGAATCACCGCCGCCCCCTGCCCCTTTGGAAGCGCCTCTGTGGTCGACAGCTGAGCCAGAGCTTGGCCAAGCTATCGGGCCAGTTGTTCCCCGAGTCGGTTTGGAACGACTTCGGGGAACGCATGGGGGAGCAAGAAGAGTAGGAGGGGGAGGAGGAGGAAAAAAGAGGAGGAGAAAGAAGAGGAGGAGGAGGAGGAGGAGGAGGAGGAGGAGGAGGAGGAGGAAGAGGCCTCTTGGGCGCCTCCTGGGGCACTCTTGGGGCCTCCTGGGAGCTTCCTGGCCGCCTCTTGGAGGGTTTTGTGGGGCCTTTGGGAGCTTATTGGGGGCCCCTTTGGCCGTCTTAGGGCGTTCTTGGCTTGTCTGACGCTGTCGGAAGCCGTCTTGGGGGCCTATCTGGGTCGTTTAGGGGCCCTCTTGGGGCAGATCAGGGGTTCTTAGAGGCCATCTTGGGCGTCTTGGAGGTCTCTTGGGCAGTTTGGGGGCCTTTTGGGGGCCGTCTTGGGAGCCTTTTGGGCCGTCATGGGGCCATCTTGGAGGCCTCTTGGGCGATCTTGGGGGCCTCTTGCGCCGTCTTGAAGCGTCGGAATGCCGAGAAGAAGCACATGCCAAAATCTGTCCAAAACCTCAGGGAAATCAATGATTTTGGCATCGTCGTGCCCTCCTGGAAGACCTCCTGGACGTCTTTTGGGCCGTCTTGGATGTCTATTGAGGGCCTCTTGGGCCATCTTGAGGCCATCTTAGGCCGTCTTGGGTGCATCTTGGGCCGTCGTGGAGGCATCTTAGGGCCATCTTAGCTGTCCCGGAGGCCATTTTAGCCGTCTTGGAGGCCCCTTGGGCCCTCTTGGGGCCGTCTTGGGGGCCCCTTGGGCCGTCATGGGGCCATCTTGGAGGCCTCGTGGGCGAGATTGGGGGCCGTCCTGGGGTCGTCTTGAGCCGTCGGACTGCCGAAAAGAAGCAGCTGCCAAAGTCCTTCAAAAACCTAAGGCGTGCTTGTGGGGAAAACGGTATTGCTTCGATTGCCTCGGCCTGTCGTTTCTCATCTTGCGGTCTCCGCAACTGTTGTGGTCTCAAGCGTAAGCTCGCTGAGGGCCCGCTGCCGGATGGTGGTGGCGGGCCCCTGCGCGGCCCTGGCGGAGGCTGGGCCGGCGTGCTGCGCGAGCTGGCGCGCGGGGCGTTGGCGGAGGCGGCACGAGTGGCTCTCGGGGCAGGCGTCGCGCGCAATGTCCCGACTGCCGCCCTCCGCCCTGTCCAGCCTGCCCGGGCTGTCCGCCGCCGCTGTCCTGCCCTGGCCCGGCAGGCTTGGAGGCGGGGCCGCCCGCTTGGGCCGTGGCGGCAGCGCCGCAGGAGGGGGCTCCCCTGGCGTGGCCGCCCTGGCTGGCGCCAGTGCTGTTGGCGATCCCGGCTGGACGCTGGAGCGCGGCTCCCTCGGCATCTCCTCTGCCAGCGGCCGCCCGTGGACATGTCGACCTACGAGGAGCGCCGCCCAGGATCGCGCCTGCTGGTGACGTTCGACGGCGATGAATGGACGCACGAGCGGCTTCTGCTCTGGCCCGTCCACTGGGACCGCGCCGCGAATGTTGGGTGGTGGAGACGCCCGAAGGTGACCGCTATCTGGAGCGGAAGGCGGACTGGCGCTGGCACGTCTCGCCGCTGCACGGGTGGCCCGAGGGCTTCCGCGGCGACGTCGTCGGGTTCCAAGGGGGGCTCTCGCGCGATGTGCTCCGCCACGTGGTGGAGGGCCGTGAGTTCGCGCGCGAGGAGCGCCGCAGGCGCCGCTTGCCCACGGGGCTGGGCGCCCGGCCGATGCATCGCCCCCCGCCGCCGAGCCCCCCCTCGACCTCCGCGACATGACCCGCGCGGAGCCCACCGCCAGGAGGCGCCGACACTCCTCGCGAGGGCGGCGAGGCCGCCAGTCGCGAGGACGTCCAACGCTCTCGGTGGAGTGGAACAAGCACGGGACAAGCTTCAAGGAGTGGCGCCGAGCTGTAGGAGAGAGCTGTGAGGAGGCTCTGGACGGCGGCGAGCTTCGCGGGGCCGGCACGGCGCCTCACCTCTGCCAGCGGTTCACGCAGCACGGCGGAGACCCGAAGACGTGGATGTTCAATTTCTGCCAGAAGTACGACATCATCCAGCATGGCCGCACGTGGCGCGAGCTGCTTGGTCTCTTCTGGTTGGCGGTGACCTTCGACGCGGTGAACCTCGGCGGGCCGGCGGGCTTGGAGGTCGCGGCTCGGCGCGTGGCGCAGATCGCCGAGGCGCATCGGGTCGCGCCTGGGCGGCCAGCTGCTTGGGGGGCGGGCCGGTTCCTCACTGGCACCAGCGACCCCTTCGACGCGGCGTCGCCCGCGCTGCGGAGCTTCGCGAACCGCGCGGCCCGCGACGAAGCGGACCGCCCGGTGGCGCTCGGGCGCGGTCGCGCGCTGGATGTTGGGGGCCCCGCCGCGCGGGCGCTGAGGACGGCGGCGGCAGAGGCAGCTGCGGCGGTCGTGGGCGCGAAAAGGCAGGACGAAGCCTGGCGACGCAGCGGCCGCCGCCACGCCCAAACGACGGGCGCGGGGCCGGGGGCGAGGCCGCCCCCCAACCTGGAGGCAGAGGCCATGCGCGGCGGACAGATCTACCCGCTGCCTGGACTGCGCGAGCTGGACGCCGACTGGTAGCCCCGCTCGGTCGCCGTGACCGCGCGCGCGTGCGCCAGTTGGCCAACGAAGGTCTGGCTAGCCTGAATTGGTTGCACGGTGTTGAACGGCGGCTTCCTGCGACGCCGCCTAGCCTTGCCGCGCGGCCCCGCGTGGCGGACATCCAGCACGACGCGCCGCGGCGGGCGCAGATCCCAGCCGCCGGACGGGGCGCGACCGCCGGCGCGGACGACCCGCGGCAATATCTTGCACAGCTGCTGCGGGGCCGAGGCGGATGCGCCCAGCTGGCGCATGCGACGCTGACCCCCTTCCCCCGCGCTCGGCTGTCGGCCCCCGACGATCTGGCCGGCGCGCCTCGAGTCACGGACCCGCCGCCGAAGGCGGCGCGGATGCAGTTGAAGGATTACGAGAGCCACGCGATGCGTTCACCTATGAGGAGGTAGACGAAATTAATGCAAGATGCGGCCCTGTCCGACCCTACATGGGCCCAGTTCTGAGTCGCAAGCGCCCCGCCTACATCGCCCTGGTCAGGCGGCTGCTGAAGGCGGGCTTGGTGCGACTGTCTACTGCGCACCGTTGCCAGGTGGGGGTCCTCTTCGTCTGGAAGAAGGGCGATCGCCAGCGGCTGATCCTGGGCCGCCGCCCGGCGAATCGTCTGTTCAGGAGCCCGTCCGGGGTCGACCTTGTCAGCGGCGACGGCTTCAGCCGCATCGATGGGGTTGACGACGGGCGGCGCTGGCCTAGGCGAGGAGCTGGGCGACGCCCTGGGCGGCCTGCACTCCTGGCTCGGCGCGAGCGACGTGAAGCACTGCTTCCAGGCCCCTCCTCGACGACGGGCCTGGGCTGCAGGAGTTCTTCGGCCACCCCCCGCTGCGGGCCCGTGAGCTGGGCCCGGCGCAACTGGGCGGCATGGCGCTTAGCCAGGACGCGCTGACACGCCCCCTGGCGCGCGCGCTGCCGATGGGGCGGGCCTGGTCGCTGCGCTTCGCCCAGTCGGCCAACGCGCGCCGCATGGCGAAGCTGCGCGAGTGGGAATGCGCGCTGGAGATGACCGACCGCGGGCCCCCGCTGATCCTGGACGGCCCGCGGGCCTTGGGCCACTACACCTACGTTGACCACGTCGGGGTGTTCGGCGGGGCGGAGAGCCAGGTTCACGCGACCCTGACGGAGGCCGCGAAGTCCTTTGGCGTTGTCGGCCTCGAGGTGCACGAGACCTTTTTGAGCAGCGCAGGCGGCGAGGCCCTGGGCGTGCATCTGGACGGGCGCACAGGCTGCGCTCGGTTTACTCCCACCAGGTTCTGGCGAGCGCGAGGCGCGGCGCAGGCGCTGCTGCGACGCCGCGGGGCGAGCGGCCTGGAGCTGGATATCGTCGTGGGCCACTTTGCCTTCGTGGGCCTGGAGCGCCGCGAGAGCCTGAGCTGCTTCCACTGCATCTACCGGTTCATTCACCGCCATTACTTCGAGCGAGTTGCGCTGCGGGACAGCGTGGTGCAGGAGCTGCTGGGGGGCGCTGGCTGGCTGCCTGGGGTCTACAATTCGGATGCGTCGCTCGACGGATTCGGGCTCGCCTGCTCGTTGTGGGGGCCAGAGGGCGTTGGGCGCGTAGGTCGCACCTGCGCGCGCGCCCGCTATCGCCTAGGCGCGGGCGCCGCGCGGCGGCGCGCTGTCGAGGCTGCCGGCCCGGAGCTGCTGGCGGACGGCGGCGCTGGAGGTGGCGCGCTGGAGCCACGGCCCCGATTTCGAGGAGGTGCCGGCGGAGCTGCTGCATGCTGGACGCTGGCGGACGGTCTTGGCGGATCGGTGGGCCTTCGAGGAGGAGATTCTCCATCTCGACGGTCGAGCACTGATCAAGGCCGTGGAGCGCGCGGCCAGTTCTCGCGCTGACCACGACGGCCGAGCCCTTCTGCTGGGGGGCAACGCGTCAGCGATCCCTGCTGTCTCATGGCGGTCGCGGGCGCGGGACTTCAAGCTGCCGACGATGGTGCGGCGCTCGGTTGCCTGTTCCTTCGGGCGCGGACTCAGGTTCAGTTATAGGTGGGCCCCCTCGGAGTTCAACAGCGGCGACGGGGGGCAGACTGTCCTCGAGGGAGTATGAGGCCGAGAAGTGCGCGACCCACCTGCTGCATCAGGCGGGAGAGAGACGTGACAGAGATGAGGGCCCTTGATGGCCCAGACCCTGGCGCCTGGTCAGATGCCCCTGCGGCCGCCTCTCGTGCGGGGCCCTCCTGTCTCGAGGAGGGCGGCCCTGCGGCGCCGCGTGCCGCCGCGGAGCAAGCCGACGCGGGTGCAGGTGCTGACGCGCGCCCTGCCGGCGCCGGGGGGGGCGGCGGGCGCCGGCGGACCCCGGGCGTCGAGCAGGCGCCCGCGACGGGCGCGCTCGCCGAGCAGGGCAGCCACCAGCGAGCTGGACCGCCGCGCGGCGGCGGGCGGGGCGCCCCCGCCAGCGGGCCTGAAGCGGGTTACCTCGACGCCGTTGGGTCGAGCCGCCGCCGCCCTCCAGATGGACGCCGGGGCCGCGGGCGCGACCGCCGCTGCCACCAAGGGCGACAGCGCGAGCAGCTTCGAGGAGGCGCTGCCAGGGCAGGCGGGCTCGCGCGCCGACGCCCGCCGGGCGACCGCGCGAGCGCGCTGCGCGGCGCGGGGGGAGCTGCTGCCAGGTCAGATTTTCCTGGAGGCCCACAGCGCGAGGGCGTCGGCCCGCGCGCGGTGCCAGATGCCGCTGGACGAGCTGATCACGGTCGCGGACCAACAGGGCGCGCCCCTCGGAGAGGGTGCCGAGGTCGACGACTGCATCGAGAGGTGAACGAAGGCAGAGTTCAGCGTCGGCCGACGCGCCTGGCTCGGGGAAGGCACGCTGGCCACCGTGATGTTCCCGAGCGGGCGGAGCCTGACGCGCAGCAGGACGGTGGCCGATCATGGGAGCCGGGTATACCCCCGCAATTCTGTCTTTAGTGTCGATTGGCGTCTGGGAGTGGATGGGGAAGCGCCGATTTCCAGCGTCGATCAGCGTCGATTTAGCGTCGATGAGCGTCGATTCGCAAGAGCCGACAATATGGTACGGGGGCCCCCGTGAGTTGCCGCAGAAGGCGGGGTCGTCCACGGAGGCGGCGGGCCCACCCGTCGCCTGGGGAACGGCCGGCGCCGAAGCTTCAGAACCACGGAGCGCACTGGCTTCTGGGCCACGGGAGGGGGAGTTGTTGTTTTTCCGCTGGTGGCCCGAGTTGCTGCGACCCGCTATCCGGAGAAGAGAAAGCGGCATAAACATAGAATGGCGCTCCGCGCGGATTTCTTGGATCCGCGCTGGGCGCCCCCAGGCGGCGCCTCCGGCGCCGCCCCCGGCGCGCTTGGGCTCCGGCGCAGATCCAAGGAATCCGCGCGCAGCGCCAAACGTTTATGCTTATTCAGTTTGTTTTCTTCTCCTGGCTACGATGTGTGCGCCATGCTGCGCCCGTAGGGGCGCCAGTTGTCTGGATTTTTTTCCCAGGGGGCAGGACCCAGGTTACCTGTTTAGCTGGCTATCCACGGGGCTGTCAGCGCGCCGGGACCGCGGCCCTCAGCACGCGCCGCTCGGGCTTCAGAGCGTCGCCTGACTGCCTGGCAACCACGAACCAGCCGCCAAAGATCATCTGGTGGATCGCATCCTGGATGGCATACTGCACCTCAAGGAACTGGGCCAACGTCTGGATGCTATCCTCAATCCGTTCCGCGTACCACGTGATGATATCACCCTCCATGGCCTCGGACCCAGGCTGCTGTGCCACGTAGCTGAAGAGCGCCTGGATGCAGCCAGGGATTGCATCAAGAGGTCCCGCATGGCCAGACGACTCAGAGAGCTCTGGGACAACATGCGGAATAACGGTACAACTCTGAAGAATATCCTCGCGAGCATCGGGTAGACCAGCACGGCCTCCGCGAACATTGCCAGGAAGGTCTGCCTGAACATCGAAAGGATCAGCACGATCGGGATGACAAACACCAGGACCTTCGCCTCGCTGGTCGTCGAGATGATGCTGTGAAAAGTCACGAACACCTAGAACTCCATCATCAGGCTTACGAACGGGGACACCAGGAACGCTGTGAGCTTCACTATCACCATGACCGAGGAGGGAACAACCAGGATCTCCATCCGCGAGCCGTGGACAGGAGGCTCCAGGTACATCATGATCTTCCGCGCCACCTTGATCGTGAAGAAGATCCTCGCGAGCGTCGGGGAGACCAGCACGGCCTCCGCGAACATCACCAGGAAGGTCTGCCTGAACAGCAAAAGGATCAGCACGATCGGGGAAGCAAACACCAGGACCTTCACCTCGCTCGTCGTCAAGATGATGCTGTGAAGCGTCACAAACGCCAGAAACTCCATCTTCAGGATGACGAGCGAGGACACCAGGAACGCTTTGAGCTTCAATCTCACCATGCGCGAGGAGAGAATAACTCGGATCTCCATCAGCAAGGCGTGGATAGGGGGCTCCAGAGACTCCATGATTTTCCACGCCACCCAGCACGAGAAGAACACCAGGAACCCCTCGAGAAACGTCGGACGCGCCGTCACAAACTTGAGCACCAGCATCCACATGAACTTCAGGATCCGCAGCGGCAGCTCCAAACATATCCTGATGACGAGCGGCGGCATCAGGAAGAAAACCACCACCTCGGGGAGTTGCACAAACAGCTTGCGGTCCAGCAGCCTCACGGTCCTCGGCAAATCCGCGAACGGCGTAGTCTGCACGATCAGCGCCAGCGTCGTCCCGGGGACGAGCGGCAGCACCAGGACGAAGACAACAATCGGCACGAACATCAAAGGCTTCGCGATCACCTTGAACATCTCCGGCTCCCAGGACACCGAGTTCCTGCAAGAGGAGATCAGTTGGCTCCAGGTAGAGGTCGGCGCGGGATGCCTCAAGCGTGCTCACCAGCGGCGCGCTCGGGCATGTGGGCATCTGCCCAAGACCAGGCGGCGGAGCATGGCGCGCACAGTTCGCTCCGCTGCAATCCTCTCCTGCTTCTCGAAGTAGACCTGCATCCGCTCCCACAAGGTCGGCCGCCTTGAGGGCCATCCCCATAGCGGAGCAGTGGCTGCCGATCACGTCGGACAGCCTCCAGCGCGCAACAAGACCATGGCGAACCAGCTGGAGACGACGTGCAAGCGCAGCGCCGCGGCCGAGCCCAAGCTCGCGCCTGAACTCGCGGCGGCGGCGGCGGGCGAGCGTCCGAGCACTCGCGGCTGCCCAGCGGCGGCCCGCATGCTTGCCGTGGGCAGCGTCGTCATCCATCGCGGCCGCTTGCGCGCCTGCGCCTGTGCAGGCGCGCTGGCGAGGGCCTCCCGAAGCGCGGCTCGCTTGAGCCAAAATGGCTACTGGCAGTTGTCTGGATAGCCCTGCGCTGTGTTGTGGGTTCGCGCCTGAGCCGAGGGTGTCGCCAGATGCACGGCTTGCGCGAGGCGTTTTGCTGGAGCATGCAGGCAAGCACAAAGTTTGAGTCACCATGTCTTGGCACGTCAACGAGTGAGTCGGGCACGTCACTCTGCAGGGGGAATTTTCAAACATAGTCTAAAAAGAATCGGGGGACGACTTTTCTAGCATTTGTTTGCCATGCTTGCATTTGTTTTGACCTGTTTTTTAATGATTTCTCTAAAATCTGCCTGTAGGGTGACATGTCCGCTCTAAGTCAACGACTGCAGCGGGGAGACACTGATCGCGCGTCGTGGGGGTGCACTAATGTTCCTTCCGCTCGTTCGCTGGCGGTCGGGGAACCCGCTGTTTCCCCGAGTCTTGTGGAAGTCGATCAACGGAGAGGAAGCATGCTGCTCAATGGCCAAATGACGTCCAGATGTCTAATCCAACACGTCTTAAACCTATAAAAACATGTTGAACACATAGTTCGAAGACTTGTTCAAACATTTTAAACACAGATTTAATTCGATGATCGGATTGTTAGAGTGTCCATTGTCATGACATCCACAACCTGAGTTTCTTGTCCTTAGTGTCGCACGTATCCATGTTGGCCCTATCTTTTCAGATTTGTCTCTTTCATCTCCGCAGCTCCTTGTTGTGTTGGACCCGCTCGGACACTTCTATCAATTTTCGTGTTTGCAGCCGCCAGGCGTCCACTTTTGAATAAAGCTGTGTTGCGCTGCTGCTCGGCGTTCGACGCGCGGAAAGGGTGCCCCGTGAAACGGAGCGTCCACGCGTGGCCCGAGTACGTTTTGTGCATTCGACGGCGATCACTTCGGCGATCCTTGAAGTCGGGGCTCAGGTGTGACCGCCCCCTCCCTGTCGGAGGGGGGCGTCTTCCATTGGCTCTTGCCCGGCTCCCATAAAAATTTGCGCCGTCCTCCTCCTCCTCCTCCTCCTCCTCCTCCTCCTCCTCATCCTCATCCTCATCATCATCATCATCATCGTCCTCTTGGTGTCTTCTCCGGGCTGGCGGGGAAGGGTGGCCTCAGGGTAAAAACAGCATCCAGGAATCTTTGGTTTGGGATTCCCAGGCAGGGATGCGTTTGCCCCTCTGCATTTGGCGCGTCGTTGACACTGCGGATTGGTATCCCCAGCCTCCCTCGCCCTTGGGGGAGTCCCGTGGGTTTTTTTGAGCGCGGGCCTTCCACCCGGTCGTCGCTCTTCTCCCAGGCGATCACAAACATGGATCAAGGGGGCGTGGATTAGCGACGGGTCCCGTTTCCATTGGAAATCGCAGATTCCCGCCGCCGAACCAGGCGGCACCGGCCGCATTTTGGGGAGGGCACTTCCCCCGATCCATGGATTTGGCGACCGCGCGCCGGATCCATGGATTGCTGATCCATGTTTGCGCGCCCCCGACACCGGGTCGTCGCTCTTCTCCCCCCTCCTGCTGTGGCCACTGCGAGAGGAGCAAAGACAGGGGCGACGCGGGCCGCCGCATTTTGCGCGGCCCGGGCGCCAGGGAACAGGCGCGCGCGGACACGCGCGCGGGGCCGTGGTTAGTCGTTGTTTGCTGGTGGCGGGACCTTCCGCGCGGCTCCTCGTCGCCTCGGCTGGATTCCTAGGGGGACAAGCAACGACATCAACATATCAACTTGTTGGTTCGCATGGATTTCTCGGATGGCGCTGGACAACCCTTCCTGGCGCACGGAGCGCGCCAAGGGCGGCGCTGGAGGAGCCGCCTGGGGGGTCCAGCGCAGATCCGAGAAATCCGCGCAGACCTCCGAGTTGTTTATGCTTATGTCATTGCTTGTTCCCCGAATTCCGCGCCGGAATTGTGCCGCGGGCCCCAGGGAATCTGGCCCGCCTTCAGAGGCGAGCCAGGGCCCATAGAACTTCCAAGGGGCCTTCGGCTCTTGGGCCGACGAGGCTCCGCGCGCAGGTTCGACGGCCTCCTGGCCCACGGAGGGCCCCGGGGAACCCCGAAGCCAGCGGACAAAAATCCGGGTTGCCGTTCCTCCCGCGGCCAGCGCCCGCAGCTAGGTCACCCGCGTGGGCGCGGGGGTGATCGCACTTCCGGCGCCGCGACTCGTGCCCGAGCGGCCGCCCTTCGGGGCCCGTGCGACGGCGCAAAGATCGTCGCGCGGCGCGGGGCGCGGGGCGCGAAGTGAGGCGATTCGGGCAGACGTTTGAGTCGGGCGTGTCCCCCTACAGGAGGAATATTCAAACATAGTAGAAGAATAGTCCAGGGACAGTGTCTCGACTACTTCTGATTATTCTGGAGTATGATTTGATTATTTTTCATGGTTCGTCCAAAATCCGCCTGTAGGACTGCAGGAGGACACGCCCGACCTGAGCAGACGTCGATTTCCAGAGCTCCGCGCGGTTCTCGGGCCGGGAACGGGCCTCTCGCGCGGCGGCCCAGCGCCGCCCCTCTTCGGGAGCCTTGCGACGGGGGTCCATGCAAACGGGGGTCAGCCAGAGCGCTCGATCCTGCAGGATCCTGCAGGGCCAGGGTAGCATTGGCCCAGGCTTGGGCGCAGGATCCTGCAGGATCTTGCGGGCTCCCTCGCACTGACCCAGGCTCCCTCGCTCTGGGCGCAGGATCTTCCAGGATCCTGCAAGGCCTGACTGACCCGAGTCTGGAGTGACCCGGGTCAGATGATCCCCAAGGCCTCTTCGCGCGCCTCGCGCGCGCGGGGAGGGCCGGGCCAAGCGCCCGCCCGCGCGAGCCGAGCGGGCCTCCGAGAGCCTGCACCTACATGCATCGTCTTCGCCGCCCTGGGGGCGGGCGTCGCGACCCGCCGATGGGCCCCCGCGCTTCTCAAATCGAAGAAACAAAACGCCATAGATGCCATGCACTTTTGGCGCTCCGCGCTGATTTCTTGGATCCGCGCTAGGCCCCCCCGGCGGCGCCTCCGGCGTCGCCCTTGGCGCGCCCCGCGTGGATCCCAGAAGCCTCCAGGGAGGGGGGTGTCCAGCGCAGATCTCAGAAGCCCGCGCGGAGCCCCAAGAGTTTTTGTTTACGCCGCCTGTTCTTCCACCATCAACGGCCGCCACGGGGGCGTGAAGGTCTCCGCGCAGCGCGGAGCAGGAAGATGTAGTTGTCCTCGGTCTTCGCAGGGCGCCCGAGTCACGCGCCGACGAAACCAAAAAGAAATACAACATCGCGAAGCAGATCCGTGAGCGCAGCGCCCAGGCCGAAGCAGCGACCCAAGAGCACCGTGATTGATTATGGAGCGCACGAAGGGCCCCCCAGTCCGCGAGACCAGCCGCGCGCGATGCGAAGATTCGCGCAGTGCGTGCTCGCGAAACCAGCGCATATTTAGGTACGTGTGCTTCCTTGTTTCGCTCCTGAAGGTAACCTCAGGAGGTCTTTCGGTTTGCCTCCCCCCCTGTTTCTCTCGGCGGGAAACAGACTCGCCCCTCCTCCTGATCCTCCTGATCCTCCTGATCCTCCTCGTCCTCCTCCTCATCATCATCGTCATCATCAGCATCAGCATTAGCAGCATCATCATCATCATCATCATCATCATCATCATCATCATCATCATCATCATCAGCATCCTAATCATCATCAGCAGTATCATCATCAGCATCAGCATCAGCATCATCATTATCGTCATCCTCCACATCCTCATCATCAGAATCAGCATCAGCATCATCTTCATCATCATCATCATCATCATCATCGTCATCTTCCTCATCATCATCATCATCATCATCATCAGCATCAGCAACATCACCAGCATCATCAGCATCTCCATCATCAGCAGCATCAGCAGCAGCATCCGCAACATCATCATCATCATCATCATCATCATCATCATCAGCATCATGAGCAACATCATTGTCACAATCCTCATCCTCATCCTTCTCCTCATCATTACCACTATCATCATCAGCAGCATTAGCAGTAGCATCAGCAGCATCATCATCATCAGCATCATCATCATCACCATCAGTATTAGCGTTGTTATTATTGTTAGTGTTATTATCATTAATAGTAGTAGTATTGGTATTATTATTATCAACATTCTTATTATTAGTATTCTTATTATTAGTAGTAGTATGATTCGTATGATTATTATGTTGTTATTCGTATTCTTATTATTAGTCTTATTATCAGTGGTATTATTATCAGTCGTATCATTATCATGATCACTATCCTCATCTGCATCCTCATCCGTATCCTCATCCTGATCTTCTGACCCCCCCTTTCTCCCTCCCCCTTCCCCCTTCCCTCTTCCTCCTGCTCCTCCTCCTCCTCCTCCTCCTTCTCCTCCTCCTCCTCCTCCTCCTCCTCCTCCCTCTCCTACCTGTGGTAGTGGTGGTGGGAGGTGAGCCTCCTCTTTACGCTGGGCAGAACTGCCGTCCCTGCTTCTTCGCGCCAGCCCCCCCCCCCACACCCCTTCGGGCCAAGGCGACGGGCCGCCCGCCAAGAGGGCGAGGCCGCCGCCGGCTGCGGCGGCGCCGGCGCCGCCCCCGCGCGGAGGGCCCCCCGCCAAGAGGGCGCGGCTCGGCGAGGGCGATGCGGCGGAGGGGGTCGCCTGCAGGCCCGTGGGAGGAGGAGGAGGAGGAGGAGAAGGAGGAGGAGGAGGAGGAGGAAAACAGGGAGGAGGAGGAGGAGGAGGAGGAGGAGGAGGAGGAGGAGGAGGAGGAGGAGGAGGAGGAGGAGGAGGGAGGAGGAGGAGGAGGAGGAGGAGGAGGAGGACGGGGAGGGGGAGGAGGAGTTGGAGGAGGAGTTGGAGGACGAGGAGGAGGAGAGGAGGAGAGGAGGAGGAGGAGGAGGAGGAGGAGGAGGAGGAGGAGGAGGAGGAGGAGTTGGAGGACGAGGAGGAGAGAGGAGGAGGAGGAGGAGGAGGGGAGGAGGAGGAGGAGCAGGAGGAGGAGGAGGGGGAGGGAGGAGGGAGGGGAGGAGGAGGAGGGGAGGAGGAGGAGGAGGAGGAGGAGGGCCCTGGCGGCGGCCGCAGAGGGCGACGGCGCCGTCAACGCCCAAGCGGAGGCGGACAAACGGCGCCGCTACCCCGGGCACCGGGCGCCGTGGCCCGCCCTCCCGCTTGCGCTGGAGACAGGCGGGCGCCACGGGAAGGCTGCGCTTCGCCTCCTGCGCTAGCTCGCCCGGGACCAGGCGCAGCAGCTCGGCGAAGGCCCGGCGGCGGAGGCGGCGGCCAGCACGCTGACGGCGCGGTGGGGCGCGGAGCTCAGCCTCGCCCTTCAACGCGCGACTGCCCGGCAGCTGCGGTCGTCCCTTGGGTTCGACCGCAGGGAGGCCGCGGCCGGGCTGGCCGCGGGGCTCGCCGGCTAGGCCGGCCGGGCACCGCCGGGCGCGCGCTGGGCAGCTCTGGGGCGGTCCGCGGGCGCGGAGGAGGAGGTCTACCGGGTCGTCGTGGTCCCCATACATCTTCATCCAGGCGCTGGGCATGTTCAGGGGGTGGCTTGCGTTGACTTTTCTTCATTGCAGGAGGACGATGATGATGATGATGATGATGATGATGATGATGATGATGATGATGAGGAGGAGGAGGAGGAGGAGGAGGAGGAGGAGGAGGAGGAGGACCTTCATCGTTCTCGGCCTCTGGAGTCCCCTCGGCGGGCCCTGGCGAACAACGGCTCGGGGCGGGAAGCGGGCCCCGGGTGAAGGGTCTCTGGGCCTCCCAGATGGGGTCGGAGTAGATGGGGGTCGGAGGACCGCGCCGCCTCGCCGACGCATGGCTGGCTCGATGCTGAGGCCGATATTCTCCACGCCGGCGTCGCCGATGCATCGCCGATGCATCGGCGACGCTGCGCGAATCTCCGACCGCATCTACTCCGACCCCATCTAGGAGGCCTCTAGGGTCGGGACCTCCGGGGACCGCGCATTGAACCAGAGGAGGAAAAGGTACCCATGCAGGGATCGTTTCGAATCCTCCGATTCGGTTCGATGCGACTTCGATGGTTCCCGGTTTCGATTTGATACGATTTCACATTCCGATTCGGGATCCGATGTTTGACTGGAGGCCTACTAGCCTGCCGATGCCTCGGGTCGGGTCGGGACTCCTGGGGGCCGCGCATGGAACCAGAGGAGGGAAAGGAACCCGCAGTGCTCGGTTTTTTCTTTTTTCTTTTATATATATATATATATATATATATATATATGGCCGATCGGCGCGGGCCCTCGCACCCCTCTTCTCCCTTCCCCCGTGGGGTAGATATTGGCTGTTTTTGGCGCCTGTTTCGAGCAGATGGAGTCTCCCCCGTCGGACGCACGGTCCCGAACAGTCGCACCAAGCAGAGGTCCGGAGCCAGACCCCCCTCCCCCCCCCCTTTTGCCGCCCAACGTCGAAACGCCGAGTCAAAACACGCTCACTACATCTACCCTTCGACCGTTTTTCCTTTTTTGGGTCTCCTCGGAAGCCCTCGTCGCCACCGCTGCATTCGTTGCGAAATTCTGGTCAGAGCGCACCCCAGGAGAGGTCCAGGGAATAGCGGCATCGGTACCCTTTGGTTTCCCAATTGAACAAAAACTGGACATCGCAGGTCTGGGAGGCGGAGGTCGTCTCCCTCTGGGTCCCCGTCCTGGCCCCGGGCACGCCGAAACTGGAGGCCCCGCTGGGCGCGGCGCTTTCCCCCAAGGGGGCGGCCGCTGGTCGGCTGCCGGGCGTTCCGGCCCGGCGTTGGGGTTTCGCGCCGAAGTCCGCAGGGGTGGCGTTTCGCTGGTGGAAAGAGGGGACAAGGAGGCGGGAGGGATGGAGGCGGGGGAGGGGGGAGAGCAAGGGGGGGGAGCAGGACTCCTGGGCCTTCGCGCCCCTGGGCTCTGCGCTGTTGCGCCACCTGCGGGCAAGACGGACGGGCGCTCAAGTTCGGGCGGGTGGAGCCAGCGCAGCCGCTGCAAGCGGGGAGACGCCCGCCAGCGCGCTGCCAGCCCGACTGGGCGTCTCGCGTCGCCGGCAGTTCGTGCCCCGCCCCGGACGCGGGCGGCACGACACGGCACGACACGGGGCACGGCGCACGGCGCACGGCACGGCGCGCGGTACGGCAGGCGGCGCGGCGGACGGCACCGCACACGGCACGGCGCTGACGTGGGAGGTGTCGGCGACCTTGTGGGCTTAAGTCGGGCCTGTCGCTCTACAGGAGGAATATTCAAAAATGGTTCTCCTATTTTTGACAATTCTGGATTTTATTTTTTCTTCCAAGATCCGCATGTAGGGGGACATGCCCGACCTAAAGGTAGGCGAAATCGCGGCGTTCCTCGGGCGAGGCGGGTGCTGCCCGGGCGCGGGCGGGGACCCCCCCGCGGCAGCCGAATCCGGCGCGGCGGCGAAGGGCGACCGAAATCGATGCAATCCAGTCGTGTGCGACGAAGGCTCCCTGAGTCCCCCATGCCGCTGAATGAAGGCTCGCGGTGCACGAGGAAGGTGGGAGGGCGGGAGGCGATCAACCACGACGACCGAGTCACAGAGAAGAGGGGGCACATAGCGGAAAGGAGGAGGAGGAGGAAGAGAAGGTGGATGAGGAACAGTGGAAACCCAACGCGCACGAAAGATACTGTAATACACCATCCCTCCATGTGGCCTCCTCATATGCCCTTCACAAGAATGTGTGCTCGTTGGCAAAAATGCCCCGTCGGAGGACAACCGTCTGACAATCCCAAATTGTGCCAAATACACAAATCCTTTGATTTCAACGCCGCGAGTCAACGTTGTTTTTGCGTCCGGACAGTCACACGCGGTGCCAGAACACCGTTATTGGGAATTCGCCACCGCGAATCAACGTGACTGTTGCGTCCTGGCAATCTTTAGCCGTGCCACAACACCACTCCGGGTATGTCAACACTACGAATCCTTCAAGTTGCGGTCGACATTTACGACCAATGTGCGCAGCAAACAGGCGGTCTTGATATGTTGAAAAGGAGTTGTCTTCTACTCTTACATGTGCTGCAAATGTTTGAAAGCGCATGCGCGCAGTGTTACAGCGACAATACCATTTCGAAATTTGGCCGCCGTCCATCGTTGAAACTGCTGCAACGCTACAGCTGCAGGATCAGAGATAGTGAGGAAGTCTCAGGGGAAACGTCCAGCCCGTCCTACCGACGGTTATGGGGCTGCGACAGGGATGACTTATTCGTAGGGAAAGTGATGACAGATAACGAAGGAGAAAGAGATAGAGATGTAGGAGGAGGAGGAGGAGGTCGAGGAGGACGAGGAGGAGAATGGAGGAGAGGGAGGCGGAGGAGAAGGAGGAGAGAGAGGGGGAGGATGAGGAGCGGGAAGGGGATGGAGAGGTGGAGGAGGGATGGATGGCCTCAGTGGCTGCCACAACAGATCCCGCATCTGTAAGTCTGCAGAGGGGAGAGCGGGACATGAGGTTCAGGCGTAAACATTGGCATAGGGTCATAGGCGCGCGTTGGCTCACAGCACTGCTCGGACACAGCGGGGGAACCCCCGGCCCAACGCCCCCGCGCAGTAGCTTCACGGGTGGGTGGGCTGTCCTCTGGTGGTTCCCATAGGCCTCTTGGGCGGCCAAGATGTCCCGTTTGGTGTCCACAGAGGACCTCCAAGATTTCTCCAGTGCCCCCACTCCTCATTCGCATCTTCATCCTCATCCTCATCCTCATCTGCGTCCTCCTCCTCCTCCTCCTCCTCCTCCTCCTCCTCCTCCTCTGCGGCCTCCTCCTTCTCCTCCTCCTTCTCCCCGAATGTCCGCAGGGCCATGGGAACGGGCCCAGCACGGCCCAAGAGCCGCCCAAGACAGCCTCAAGAAGGACAAAGCGGGCCCAAAGAGGGCCTCCGAAGGGGCTCGCGGTGGCCCAGAATTCCACCCAGACGGCCGAAGCAGTGCCCAACATAACCCCAAGATGGGCAGAGAGACCGAAAAATGCCCCAACACAGCCCAAGAGGTCCCCAAAACGAACCGGAAATGGCCGAAGGCCGCCAGACAGCCCTCAAACAGCCCAGGAAGGCATTCAAAGGGCCTTCATTCCAAGCTGGGCACCCAACACACCGCTCGACGGAGTAAAAGGGTGTGGTATTTCCCAGAACTCCCCACCCCCTCTGGACCACCGCTACCCCTGCCTGACAGGGGGGTGATTCTGTTTTGTTTGCCACCCGGAACCCTCCCTGAACACTCCCGCCTGGCACAGGTTTTAGGGAGGGGGGGTGCCTGAACCACCTCATCAGGAAGAACTCTAGGCGGGGAGGGGAGGGCTGTCTCTCCAGACCCCTCCTTGACCCCCTCCCTCAGAGGAGGTTTCCGGATGGGTTACACAGGGGGGGTTCTACCCCGAACCCTCCCTGGCCCCCCTCAGGGAGGGTCTTAGTGGGGGGTGGGGGCTTTCCGCCCAGACGCCCCCTTGACCCCCTCAGGGGTGGTGGTGGTAGGGGTTGGGCGGGCTTCCCTGACGGAAGCCCTCTTGATCTCTCTCCTGGTTTCTGTTCGTTTCAAGGGGGGTCGATGGGTTTTCTCCCCTGACCCCCCCCTTGGAACCCCGTTTTTCAAGGGAGATTTTAAAAGAGTTAGAGGTTAGGGAGTCACACCCTTGAGTCCCCTTCTCATGTGATGGTCCCCCTTGACCCCC